AATGGAAATGAAAGTGCGTTAGTAAACCTCGGTTCTGCGGAAGCCTCATCTTTCAATACCAGTGCTTATGGGTATGATGGTAGTGGTAGCTGCGACAGAAACGTGGCAATAATATGACATAAAACGTCGTCATCAGTATAACAGTTGTCAATCACGTAAGATACACAAAACCAATATATGTCAGGAGTAAGAAAATGCGGTAAAGAAAGAGACAGATTGGTAAAGATGGAAGGGAAAAGAAAGGAGGAAAGCAGAAATAAATGAAAGAAATGGAAAGGGAAAGGAAAATAGAAATGGAAAGGGAAAGGAAAATAGAAATGGAAAGGGAAAAGGAAGGTGGAAGGGGAGAGTGGAGAAGGGGAAGGTGGAAGGGAAGAATGGGAAAGGGAAGGATAAGGGAAAGGGAAAGTGAAAAGGGAGAATGGGATAGGGAATGTGGAAGGGGAGAATTAAGAGGAGGAAGATGGAAGGGGAGAATGGGAGAGATAGGGAAAGTAAAGGGGAAGGGAAAAGGGAAGGTGGAAGGGAAAGTGGATGGATAAGGGAAAAGGGAAGGTGGAAGGGGAGAATGGGAAAGACAAAGGGATAGTGAAGTGGAAGGGAAGAGTGGGAAAGGAGAGGGAGAGGAATAGGAATAGGAATAGGGAAGGGAAAAGATACGGGAAGAGGAAGGTAGAAGGGGAGAATGAGAATGGGAATGAGAATAGAGAATGGGAATAAGGTAAAGGGAAGAATGGGAAATGAAAGGAGAGAAATGTGAATGAGAAAGTGCAAAGGAAGGGAAATTAAAAAGGAATGGAAGAAGTAACCGGGGAAGGGGAATTAAAATCAAACGAAATAGGAATAGGAATGGGAATGGTAAAGGGAAACAGAAAGGGGGAGGGGCGGGAGAATGAAAAGGAAAGGGGAACGGAGAGTAAGGGAGAATAAAAGGTATGGGGAAGGAAAAAAAAAGGAAGGGATTAGAGGGAATGGGAGGGAGAAGGAAAGGAAAGAAAGGGAAAAGGAAAACGAAAATGAAAGGGAGAAGGAGAATGGGAATGGGAAAGGGAGACATGGAAGGTGAAAGTGAAAGGGAAGCAGATAAGACAAGATGAAGGAAGGGAAAGGGAGAAGAAAGGGGAAAGGGGAAAGGGAAAGGGAAAGGGGGAAGGGAAAGGGAGAAGATAGGAGAAAGGGAAAGGAAGGAAAAGGGAGAAGCTCGGGGAAAGGAAA